TTTTTTTTTTTTTTTTTTTTTTTTTTTTTTTTTTGAGGCTATTGTAAATGGGGTAGTTTTCCTTTCAGGGAATATATCACTGATATACAGAATTGCATTTGATTTATGGGTGTTGGTTTTGTATCCTGCTACTTTGCTGGCATTTTCTAGGTCTAGAAGTTTTCTGGTGAAGCTTTTTGGGTCCTCTAGGTATAGAATCATATTGTCAGAAAATAGTGCTAGTTTAAGTTCTTCTTTACCTATCTGTATCCCTTTAATTTCTTTCATCTGTCTAATTGTCTGGCCAGTGTTTCAAGAACTATGTTAAATAGAAGTGGTGAAAGAGGGCATCCCTGTTTTGTTCCAGTTTTTAGAGGGAATGCTTTCAATTTTTCTTCATTTAGAATGATGTTGGCCTGGAGTTTAGCATAGGTAGCTTTTACAATGTTGAGATATGTTCCTGTTATCCCTAATTTTTCTAGTGTTTTGGGGGGCTGTATTTTGTCAAATGCTTTTTCTGCATCTATTGAGATAATCATATGGTTCTTATGTTTAAGTCTATTGATGTGCTGAATTACATTTATTGATTTCCATATGTTGAGCCAACCTTGCATCCCTGGAATGAACCCCACTCAATCATGATGCACAATCTTTTTTGATACGTTTTTATATTCAATTTACCAGAATTTTATCGAGGATTTTTGCATCTATGTTCATTAGATATTGGTCTGAAGTTTCCTTTCTTTAAAGTGTCTTTGTCTGGTTTTAGAATCAGGGTGGTATTGGCCTCATAGAATGAGTTTGGAAGTGTTTCCTCTTTTTCTATTTCATGAAATAATTTGAGGAGTATTGGTATTAGTTCTTCTTTAAAGGTCTTGTAGAGCTCGGCTGTCTATCCATCCGGTCCTGGGGGAAGCCCCCACTTTTTATTTCAGGGTCCTGCGCTTCTCCAGGGCTGGGTGTTGTCATCATGTGGCAGATTAGGAAACAGCTCAGAGAGGTGAAATGATTTGGTCTGAGCCTTGGATGGGCAGGGCTGGAATTTAAACCCAAGTCTGTCTGTCTCCCCAGATCAGATGGTGAATTATAAAGTCTTAAATCTGGGAGGGAATTCAGAGGTAACTAAATCTAGACCACTTATTTTAAAGATGGGAAAGTTGAGGTTTTGAAAGATTATTGTTTCTTGCCGTGTAAATGGATTTATTTTTACTGCAGATATTTAGAGGGGATATAAATCCTTATGTTTCCAACCACGACCTGACACATAATCCCAGTGTGCTCAATGTTTTCCTCTTTCTGCAGAGCGTTTTGGAGGTGGGGGGCAGTGTGGGGGGGGTGTGCCGTGCATGCTGCGAACACTGAGCCAAACCAGAACATTCCTACAGCAGCAGGATGGGGCTGTGCCCCCAGTGCTGTCCCCGGGATCTGCATGATCAGCCCGCATTCTCTGTCCTCCTGGACGTTCCTGTCCCCATTATCACTAGGCCAAGAACATGCAAGCCTCTGGTGAGGAGCAATCACAGGAGAAGACTTGTCATGCAGACCCGTCACAGAGGGGATTTAGAGGCTTAGCCTAGCGTTGATGGCTTCTTCATCTGTAGCAGGCTGTTTTGTGTTTGTTTTCTCCCCTGATGCATTGCTTCTAGGCCGCTGGGGACATTAACTCATTTTCAAGGTTGATTTAAAGCAGCATGAATGAATTAGAGATTTCTTTGGAAAGAATTATCTTAAATAGCACAGTATTTATCTTTAAATTCACAATCAAGGTTTATGTTACTGTTTCAAATTCCACATCTTTAAACCTTTAAAGCCTGTGTTTTTCTTTGATACTATGTTAAATACCAAGGATAATGATGGGTTCAAAAAGAATATACTTCCAGAAGCCTGTCAGATGTCCATTCTGCTCCAGTATTAAGTGGGTTTTCTCGAGTGGTGTTTCAGTATGCAGCATCTACCTTTAGTTGCAGCCACATTGGTACACATTTAGTGTATACAACCATCGAGCGTCGACTTAACTTCACACTGATTCTTCTGTAGTGTCATCGTATCTCATGTGTATCTCCATCCTTAAAAGAAGCCACACTGAAATATTTCCCAAGAAAGTGGTTTTCTTCTGACAGTTAAGACTCAGAATCTCCCAGAGCGGCTTCTGGAGATGCGCTACATCTGTAATCAGAATATGGAAGGGTGGCTGTGTTCAGCTGGGAGCCTCCTTGGCCTGTGGCAAGATGCTGATGGCACTGCTTCCTAGGTGGTAGTGGAACACACCTGCACTCCATAAGAAAAGCAGTTGCTCTCTGGGCTCTTCCAGACTGTGTTAGGAGGGGCCACAGACGACCCCCCCATCTCTGTGGACTGCAGACCTGAGTGTCTGGGCACCTGTCAGCAAGTCCAAAGAGTGAAGCTACTTCAGTGGTAACACGGAGGTGCCCTTGGCCTGTGGCTCAGGGTGGCATTTGTACCGATGGCGCAGGGCAATAGTGATTGATCACAGCAGGGCAGAAGTACCAATGGCACCACACTCGCGGGTTAGCGAAAGCAGAGCATCCCCCCAGAATTCCGTGGCAGTGCAGTACATGTCACTGGGCCTTCACTTCTGTTGAAACCCAGCCTCTGTGCTCCCTGGCTCTCCCATTCCTGGGCTCAAGGTGACCGTCCGTCTCAGTAAAAATTCCTAATTTTATTAAACCTCTGGTGCACATGTCTACTCTAATAAGATGGGAAATGTGTGTAAACATTGGCTCAGAGAGTCACTGTGCATGCGTGAATGAGCCTCTTCCTTCATGAAACACAAACATTGCTTGGAAAAATGATCAGAAGACAAATTATGGTTATGTAGACTCAGGTTTTGTAAGAGATTTTCTATAAAATCAATGAAATGATCCTGGCCTCCAAGGAAAGCAGCCATTGTTCAAGTACAACTTCTCCTGTGGAGGATGACATGGACGGTCTACTCTATTAGCACATAGTGGCCCAGTCTACTCATAGCCCCTTATTACAGGGCGTGGGCTGCGGAGGGCCCTGGGGCAGGGTTCTGCTGGGGAGTCCTCAGCCCACAAGGCCCCACAGCCAGGCAGGCGGTGGGGGCAACTGATGCCATACCTTTCTCTCTTCTGTGGAATTGGGAAACGTCAGCGTGTAGACGCCAGAAGTGGTGAGTCCGGATTTGAATACTTCAGCACAGTCTCTGAAAATATTCCGTTCCTCTTTATCAACAATAGGGTTCTTAGCTGTGTTAAAAAACAAAAAAAAAGCATTTAAATAGAATTTACAAAAAGATAAAACTTGTTATTTCAAGAACCAATCATTTGGTGACTTATTACATTTGAATTTTTATAATAAAAAGGATATGCTAGGTTTTAGCTTTTCTAAAAAAGTCACCTGTTTTCCTGTGAATTCTGAAATCATCCTTACTTTTGTATTATCAAGTGCATGTAACGCAAGTATTTCACAGCCCAGAATCTATGCTTTTTCAAAATTTCTCATCTTGAGTACAGTCAGGTAAGATTTATTATACATAAGTAAGAGAAGGACCCTGAGAGTGCTCCTTCTCTGGGCCCCTGTATGTCCCTTAGGCCATTTTTCCACTGGGGCCATAGTGTGTGTTTTTCCCTTTTACACGCACGCACACGCGCACACACACGCACACACACACGGCTAAGCCTAATTTGTTTTTAGAATACCACATGGGAGATATTTAGTAGTCTTTGGACTTTTAGCAGCTGTACCGTGGGCAGCTAGTATTTTGAAGGACGTCATGTTTACCTGCATGTTTTGAATTCCTCTACTAAGCCTAAAATTTCTAGGACTATGACATTCTTCAAATTTCAATTCTGTCAACATTCACATTTCTGCCACATTAAAAAAAAAAAACAAACAAACAAAAAAACGGTGGTCTGTCTTTGTGGAGCCCTGTGGAGGGAGCAGAGCTCTGCGCATCCCCTGGGGCACAGAGGCGGCCCTGGCTGTGGAGCCCAGGAGAGGAGGAGCCTCTGCTGCTCCTGGTTTTCTGCCAGGATCTGAGCCAGGTGGCTTTCTCTCCTTCAACTCATCAAAGCTGGTGACACATACCGTCTGGTCCCTGCAGTGTTAGATGACTGACTACCTTTGCTTTTTCTAAGAATGTGAAGAAAATGTGATTTTCCCAAATTGTGAGAGAGTAGAACTGCAGTTGGAAGCGTGAGCTGCAGCTGGCAGCCCAGAGTCGTCAGCTCTCGAGTCGGCGTCCTGCCTCTCTGTCCTGCGGCTGGGCACCCTCTGAAATAAGCCCTCTGCTAGTGACTGTCGAAACTGGAGTAACTGCAGGACTCCAGTAAAATGTGGGAACAGACGTCTTTTATGGATTCAGACATACGATCCTCTTGTGTGAATTCACGACTCACATGCAAAGGGCATTGAGTCAAAAGAGCCTGAGTTAAGACCAACACAAGATGAGCCACAAAGAACCAGGTCAAATTCATTCAGGAAAAAAAGCTCAGAATGTCCCAGAGATTATATATATATATATATATATCTTCAGTTAATGACCTGAGTTCCTGTGCCCCTGCAGCTGAAGGGCTAGGGAGTAAGGAAGGTGAAGTGTATTGCAGGACGGCATGAGAAAGGGGAGCTGGCACCTCCTCAGTGCCTGTCACTCAAAGGATCATCTTATTAGTCTCCACAGGTGATTGTGGGTCTGGTTATGTGTTCCCATTTAAATCCCAGAGAAACAGAGATCCGCTGCCGTGTAGTGACTTGCCAGGCTCGTCTCGGGCAAAACAGGCCCTGTGCACCCTCAATCTGAAGTGTGTTGGGTGCTCTGCCTCCTGATAGTGGGGATGACCTGTATCTCGCCCACCTCTCCTCTGCCTCCTCCCTTTCTCCTTGGCTCTACGTTGAGACCGATCGAGCTTTCATATGAAATACGTGAGAAAGGTGCCTCTTCTGAAGGAGTGTGCTAGGGCTATGAGGGGTGCCGACACCCGGAGAGGGGGTGTGGGCCGCACTTACAGCCGGACACCGACACCAGGGTCAGCAGGTTGTGCACCGTCTCCATCAGGTCACGCTGCTGCTTTTGGAGGGCCGAGTTGTTGACAGTGGCGGTGACGAGCTGCTTCTCCAGCTCCTGGATGACGGAGCTCTGCTGGGACACCAGCACCCGCAGCTGGTCCTTCTCCTCCCGCATGGACCGCAGCTGCAGCGTGTGCTTGTCCTCCATGTCCAGCACCTTCTTCTCTAGGAAGCTGAAGGGAGAGGACACACTCCTTAACGAAGGGCCTTTGGGGCTGGATTGCCACTGAGGGTAGGCGCTTTAGAAACATAGCCCATAGCCCTAGTGACATCCCTCACGGTTTTGCGTTTCTGTTCTGCCAAGGCACTCTGTGCAGATGCCATGTGAGTTATAAAGTAACAAGAGGTTGTCACAGCCCTAAATAGTCTCTCACATTCGCCAGGGTTACACGTGACACATGCCAGGTACACATATGTGTCATGCTAGCCACAGAAGTGGAACACGAGTGTCACAGCACAGGGTACCCGGGATCCAGAAGAAGGAAGCATTGTTTCAGGCATGGTGCTCATGAAATGCTCTGCTTGAGAAGGAGCAGTTGAGGTGGACCTCGGGGTAGTGTGAGCTGTTTATGTTGGAATACTGATCCTAATGATGATATGACAGCTGATCTTTTAGTACTATTTGGTAAGTACTCCTGCGTGAGAGGGATGAACACTTAGCTTAGGTTCAGATCTGGCTTACTGGCCTGTGACCCTGGCAGCTTACCTACTCACTTCTGCCTCAGTTTCCTCTTGTGTATATGGGGGTATCACTTCCCATTTCCAATGGACAAATTGCATTAAATGTAGGCATACTAAATCACATGCCTGGCCTGTCATGCAAGTGGAAGAGTTCAAACCCAGATCTTTGAAACACCCACCTTCCTTCCTTTCTTTTAATATAGACCCCTTTAACCAGTACTGTCTCTTAGACTTGTTGCCAACAGTCACAATGTGAGATAGACCCCTGAAAAACAATCTAAAAATCACTTTTTTACTCTTATTATATATGTCAGTAGAATGTATTTCGACACATGTGTATGGAGCATAACTTCCCATTCTGGTTGTACGTGATGTTGGTCATGTAATCATGTATGCACTTAGGAAAGTAATGTCAAATTCATTTCTACTACCTTTCCTATTCTCACTCCCCCTCCTTCATTCCCATTTGTCTGCTCCAAAATTCTTCTGTTCTTCCTTCCCCCACCCCCATTGTGATTAGCATCCACATACCAGAAAGAACATTTGGCCTTTGGTTTTCTAAAAATGATTTTGATAGTGATAAAGCTATGCCATTTGTCATTCTAATCTCAGTTCCTAAAGATTATGTATGTCACAAGAAGGTCATGTGGACACTGAAAAGTCACCAGTGCTACGGGCACAGTGCCTGAGTGGAAGGAGTGTCATACGAGATCCCCACCTCTGCGGGGCCTTCCTGCCTGTGTGTCACAACTGTCTGTGTGTCCTATCCAAGTAGATATCTAAATAGAGGCTAGTTGATCGTTGGGCCTTTCCATTCAGTCAATCTGTGCATCCATGTGCCTTTCTGGCACTAGTATTTCAGGAACCTTTAGCCCTGCAAACGTCAGCCAGGCAAAGAACTAGACCACCCCTTACAGATCTTGCCCATAAGTAGTAACAACAGTATTAATGATTATTAGAAATTGAATTGTGGCTCTTAAACTTATCCCAGTCCTCTGGTCACTGTAAATCATTAGTGATGACAAACGTACTGTCAATATATTAAGTCCGTAAATAATTCATTTTGATTGGATTTTTTCATCAGTTTTACCATGTTTTTCAATTATTATTTTTCTTGATATCACCTAACATTATTTTTTAAAAATGTATGTCTTAAAAACCAAGATGACTTGCCATAAGCAGAAAGTCACCTAAAACAAGTGTGCAGCTGTCTAGTCCACCTGCATGCCCGTGGCACGCTTTGGGAATCACTGCTGTGGTCTGAGGTGCCTGGGAACCCTGAGTCTGCACTGCCTTCAGTGTGGCCTCACTGAGACTTGTGGCCCACCCACCCTCCTTCACTGTTTTTAATAATCTGAGAGGTGTGAGGGAGGGTGCTGGTCGTACAGCCGCTAAGTTTGGAAGGAGCAGCCTGTGGGCTGGACAGCTAAACACAGCACCTCGGTTCCCCCTCCAGGGCCCGCCAGCCTAGCTCCTCTCCTGATCAAATGAGTTGTCTCGAGATTAAAGACGAGAGTCCTTGGCTTGGGGGAACGCCCTTAGAAGGGTTAGGGGACTCTCATGGAACCCCTGGGCTCCCCAGAGCAAGCTCGTATAAGTGAGCTACCTCCCGAGTCCCTCTCTGGCTCTCCGTTTGGAAAGGTGACCTCTTCCTCCCACGCACTGTACCACCATGGTGATACCATTTGCAGTTAGGTCCTCCCCAGAGGCCAGACCAATGGGGCCACCCAATCTTGGACTTCTAGCCTCCAAAACTGAACTAAATAAACTATAAAGTTATAGTCATGAAAAATGGGCTGTCAGTGTTTATTTTATGAGTTTCTCTTCATCCCCTCAGGAAGAAATATCATTGGCCACATGTTTCAAGGTCAGAGCAATTTAATTGAAGTGATGCATAGAGTCCCTAAATTAGTCACTTATTTTGAGAAGAAAGAAGAGTGAGATGGGAAAAACAAAACAAAGGAAATGATCATTTTCAACTTCAGCTGTGAATCTAAAAAGTGTAGTAGTGGCAGTTTTGAAAGAAATGTTGATCCCAGTATGTATTTTGACTTCATTTGAACCTATTGTATAAAGAAAGCAATTGTACTTTTCTGGAAGCTTGTTTGAAAAGTGCTTATATGGAAAAAATATTGTGATGTTTAAATTTAACTTTGTAAAACTAGATTTGAATTATGAGAAAAGTATGTTATTGAGCCATGTAAATTAAAGCAGAGGAAATGTGAAGGATTTAAATTGAAAAAAAAGAAATGCAGTCATTCTTTCTGTTCCCTGGGGACCAAATTTAATTTATTCTGGGCCTCCAGTTTTAAAAAGCAAACAGATTTTTTTCATTCGAGTAATTTTTATTCATGTTTCAAATTTCTGCACACTAGGGTAGAAGTTTGAGACCAACATTTGAGATAAAAACAATCTTACAGCAAGTTCACGTGGTACAGGAAAAGCTACTTATGGCCACCACTCACCTGACTGTCTCTGGGAAACCTGGGATGGGCTCAGGCTGTTGAGCGTGCTCTGGTAACGAACATTGCTTCTCCCTATAGTTTTCAAATTTAGTATTCTATAATGCTAAAATATATATGCATATGCCAACAATGTCACCTGACACCATATTTGTAAATTTTGCTGTCCTTCAATACCCACAGGGTGGATTCCAGGACCCCTTCCTATTGAAATCCATGGATGCTCAGTCTCTTATATAAAATGGCACAGAATGTGCATGTAGCCTACATATGTCCTTCTGCATGCTTTAAAGCACCTCTAGATAATCTAACACCTAACCTAATACAAACCTATGTAAATAGTTGTTAACATCCCATTATTGACGGAATAATGACAAGGAAAGCAACATGTTCTGCACAAATGTACTCCCTCCCCCCACTCCCTACAAACATTTTGGGTCCAAGCTTGGCTAACTCTGGGATGCAGACCCAGAGGTCAAGGATGGCTGGCTGTGCTGTCGAATCTCCTTGCCTTTTACTTAGAAGAGCAGGACTCTCAGCTTAGCTTGGATCTACTGCCGAGAACAGGCACTTCACTGGGCAAAGCCACTGCTTGGAAACACAATCAACTCTCACAACATTTTTCTGATCTTACAATTTAGTGAAATTTCTTTGTAACTCAAGGTTTTGGGATATATAGATGGTGGATTCCAACTGTACTGTGGTTTGCTGTGTTTTGAAGGTCATTCCTGCTTAAATTTGAAAACGACAGAGAGAAGCAGTGTTCAGTCCCAGGGCACATTCAACAGCCTGAGCCTATCCCAGGTTTCCAAGAGACAGTTGAGTGAGCGGTGGTGATCAGCAGCTTTTCCTGTGCCACGTGAAATTGCTGTGAGATTGTTTTTATCTCCAGTGTTGGTCTCAAACTCATATCCTAGTGTGTAGAAATTTGAAAGAAATGAAAATTACTTGAATGAAAAAAATCTGTTTGCTTTTTAAAACTGAGACCCAGAATAAATTAAATTTGGTCCCCAGAGAACAGAAAGAAAAATTGCAGTTTCGTTTTTGATTCACAGTAAATAATGAGTATATACAACATTTATCACCATTTCTGACTAAGACTAAAGAATCACTTAGGTTGAGAAATAGAAAAGATAAATTATTGTGACTATTTTCCATGCCTTAATTAAAACCAAGGACACAGCACACCAAATATGTATGCAAACTTACCTTCACATGTCCCCATCTAGTATCAACCTAGGAAAACGATCCCCACTCACCACCTGAAGTTTGTGTTACCATACTTCTTATCCTGGGACTTTTTTCTAAATTTAAGTATTAATTCAGTAATTTTAGCACCAACTTTTGTTTTTACTTGACCATGGTTTTAAGAGGAAATAATGCATGATGAATGAATGACAATATAAGAAACCTTCCTACTGTAAATTATTTTGTATAGAAGACACAAAGTCCCCAAAGGCAAATGAGCATGGTGAAGCCACCATTAAAGCCTCGGCCAGCGTCACACACCGCAGTTTTCACTGACAAGCATGTGTGCTATTGAGGCAGCTTGGAGGGCCACAGTGACAGCAGAAAGTGGAGACCAGGATCAGGGACAGGGGAGGACTTCTGTGTCAGTGCAGCATGTTCCTGGACCCTCCCCTGCCTTTCCCTGCACACTGTCTCTTCCGTGTGTGTGCTGGACACGGAGAAATCCGTCATTGTGAGAACTACACCCGAAATTGACAGTCAGCGAGGTAGGCCCTGTGTCTTCAGAATGTACGATGTTTTTATACTGGTGGTTACCTGTTCTTGTCCTGCAGTTTGTTTATTTCACTGGTCTGGTCCAAAATCTGTTTTTCCAATTTGTTTGTAGAAAGGGAATGTTCCAGAAGCTGAAGTTCAAGCCTTGTTGTCTGGTTTAAAACCTAAATGTAACAGAATGAAATTCCTATTTATCACTTTTAATCAGTTTAATTTCTTACCTTCTAATTATCCATATAATCAGAAAATAAACACATTGTTTATCAGCCCAACTTCCTTATTTTGACCTATTTTTCATGTTCAGAAAAAGCGAGGTGTCTTGGATTACTTCCATGTGTGGTTTTTGTGGGTTTTTTTTTTTTTTTTTTTGGTGGGGGTGGTCGGGACTGAGCCCAGGGCCTTGTGCATGCAAGGCAAGCTGAGCTATATCCCCAGCCCATCCATGTAGGTTAAGCCTTTTTTCTCCATGTTTTTTATTTTGAAAGTAGTTAATAGTTATGAATATTGATGTTTGTATGAAATTATAATATTTTTCTATAGTTCTCTATTTTATCATGTTACACTGTGAGATTAGTAGGAGCATCCAATGCTCAGATTTCAAAGATTAAAAATTGTGGATAAATAAAAAGTAATTCCGCTGGCCCAAACAAGCACTGTTGTGGTATTTATCTGGTGGTCAGTGGACCCAGGGATGCTCAGTAAATAGACACGGAGCTCCCGTTAGCCTGGCATTTCCCGGACAGGGCCACGGGTTCAGCCTTGGCTGTTTTCTCTTTCCTATTCTAATGGTCCACATTGAGAGGACCCGTCTTGCTCTGTGGCTTCTGGTCTGTGGCGTGTGCAGTCTCGCTGTCCCATTCTGCCCCAGGAGCCTGAAGGATGGATTCCTTGGTGTTTGGCTGCCTTGCAGCAGGAAGAATTGATTACTCACATCCTCCGTGTCACGGTGATTCAGGATGTGATATCACGTGTAAATGTGAGTCGGGATCGCGGCCAAGGAATTGGTGTCCTTGAAAGAATCACTGTTTGCTGGGTGTCTTTGTGGTGTGCCAAAGCGCTGGCCTGCACGCTGTGCAGGTCTCGGGGTTGGTCCAGCCCTCCGCCCCAGCTGGTGGGAGGTCTGCACACTCCCCCAGAAGGGAGCAAGGCCTCGGCCACACCCAGGCCTGGGTGCTGAGGTGGACACCTAGGGTACAGACCTGGCCTGCAGGTTCTTGGGCTCAGATGTTCCATGAAGGGAATTGGGTCTCCTGCTTAATTAATGGGAATTATTAGATGAGCGCATTTAGAGAGGCAGAGGGGGATGGTCTGTGGGTCCTGCTGGCCTGGGATGACTGCTGTGTCTCACAGCCCTGTTTCCTTAAGGCAGCCTCCAGGCCTCTGTCTGCAAGTGACCCTGTGAGCTAGTCAGGCCTGGCCATTGTCCTCTTTAAGATCTCAAAACTCCAGCCACCACTCAGTGCCCAACCCGGTAGTCTCATTGTGTCAGGGTAGACAATCTCGCGTGGACCAGAAGCTTTCACGTTGGAGTTTATGCCTGCTTCGTGCAGTCATGACCCCTCGGCAGTGGCTTTGAGGGGACTGGGGACATGGGTAGACTCTTGCTCAGCCACGTTCATATCTTTGGTTGGACTTTATAGGCTGTTTTCTTCCCACTCATTTTCCTATTTTCCTGTTACCCTGGATCATATGATATCTAATTTCACAACAGGCTTTTTAAAGAAATCATGTGACCCTGAAGCACATTAAATCTGACGTACACAGGATGTGGCCAAAGTTTACATGGTTGTTCTCTGCCTTAACACTTTTTTATTACTATTATCTAAAAACATAAAAATGATATTTATAGGACTCTTTATTTTGGGATGAGCTTGATGGCCCACTGGTTTTACTATCCAAAGGTAGGGAACGTCACTTAATAACCACTGGCTTATTCTACTGACTGACTATGGGCATGTGGGGAATTTACTTCTAAATTATTTCTTTTCAATTTTAGCTCTTACTAACAACTAGGATTAAATTTTAGTACTCTATGGTGTACCCTATAAAAATTTGTTCATATTTTTCTTGAAACATTCTGATTTTATTGAAAGTCTTGGTAATCAAATAATTGGTTACTCTGTCCTAAGAACCTCCTGTTCTTCACTCTCCCACTGTGTCCTCCACCTCGCCCAACAGCTGTCAGGGAAGGCGCCAGCGCCGTTGGAGCCTCGTGTGGGCACAGGAAGCCTCTGACTCCCTTCCCATCCCCCACTGGTGTGACCCCTTCTCTGGGCTTTGGCAAGTAGGGTTGATGTGTCGCAGGAATCGCGTGCAGCTCAAACGCCCCCCCCACCTCCCCCCCACCCTACCCCCCCACACACACACACATGGTTTTCTGGAGCCTTGCTTCCAGCTCAGAGTGGACAGGGACCGACCTGGTGAGCCCATGAAGGAGCCTGGCTTTGGGTCCAAGGGCAGACCAGCTGAGGCAAGCCTGGGGCCGCTCCATCCTTGCGGCCAACAGCGCCTCCCCCACACCCCCGACCTGTTCTTTTGGGTCCCAGGTTGTATATTGTTAGCATGACTTCAGAGATTTTGTTTTTTTAACTGGCTTGATAATTTAATGTTTTGCTGTATTTAATATTTTCATATTCCTTATTCATTTCTGCTGTTAAGCCATTAGCTCATAGACTCCTAAAGCTAGAAGAGAAGTCGGCAATGATTTGTCTGGCCCAGCCCTTCTTCTGACAGTTAAAACCACCGAGACCCGAAGAAAGTGTCAGTGCCCCGCCCCGATGGATGCGTCCTGTCCTGGTGGAACTGGACCACGATGGACTGGGCTCTCGGCTCAGGGTGATGCCTGTCCCTGCCACAGCGTCCACTCTCACTGTTGCATTTGTTTCTTTCCCTATAAATCAATTCCACAAATTGTGTAAACATGTATTCGAAATTTAGATTTTATCTTAACCTGGAGTTAAGATTTTGTGGCTCCCTGCCTCTGTGCTTTTCATTTCTAAAATGCATGAAAAGTTTAGGGCTTGGAAATGAAAAGTGCTATGTAGCATCCAGAGAAGACCAGTGAGGCAAAGGACCGTTGACCTTGTGGAGATCAGGTGTGCGCAGTGGGAAGGGGACTTGGAAGTCCTTACCAGACGAGCATCGTCTGCCCTCAGGACTCAGAAGGAAAGCACTCAGGGATGAGTTCTCGACCTTTCTTGATTCCTTACAAACCCTTTTCTCCCGCCATCGAGCGCCTGTCCCCGCATTCCATGGAGGCTGACCCTGGCAGCTGACCTGGTCCTTACCTGGGCCTCCACGTCCGTCAGTTTCCTCGTCTGCTCTGCTGTCTGGTTCAGGAGGTTCGTGCCGATCTCGATCATCACGGCCGTCTGGTTCTGCACCGCGCTCTGCTGCATCTCCACCATTTCCTTCCTCATGTTGTCCTGGATGTAGTTCTCGAGCTGGGGGGAACCCGAGCGGGAGGGTGCTTGTGAGTCACCTGACCAGAAACCCCTCCCTGAGTACCTGTCATCCTTTCCTCCTTCCAGTGTCCATCTGAAGACCTGCGGCTCACTGCCAGTCGGCCTCTGTGTCCTGCCACTAGTGACTGTCCTTTGACTCAGCAACTGGCAACCTGGGAGCATGACAAGCACCCACTGTCCCTACACCCTAGAGGCCAGAGCCCAGCAGGCCCAGTGAGGTCAGCCACACCCACTGGTGGGATGAGGTGCAGGCAGCAGGAAGGACCCTGGGCTTAGCGGCGGTGCTGCCAGGCTGCAGCTCTGCCTCTTAACAGGAAGTAAAGTTTGGCCTCAGGAGACCCTCGCCACAGTGTGAGGGAAGGGCCCCTTTGAAGCTCCCAGAGCCACAGAACCCCACTCAGCTCCGGGTCTGTGGTGCCCTCCTGCTTTCTGCTTAGTTCATGAGGATCAGTGCCCCTCTCACAGGTGTGGGTTAGGTCACTTGGGACTGAACTAGTTTCTGGAGAGAAAGTTGTCCCTCAGTCCCTTGCACACATCTACTTCTTTGCCATGTTGCAACCAGAGTCCAGCAGGTGCCGGCACTGTGCTCTGGGACTTTCCTATCTCTAGAACTGAGCCAAAAAACCCCCTTTTCTTTTTAACTTACACAAAGCCTCAGGTATTTTGTTATGGTAACACAAAAAGGATGAAGACAGCAACTAATCTTAGCATTAGCTTAAACACAAAGATAATGAAGAAGCTAATTTCACTCTCATGTACATATCTTTATCTGTGGCAATAAAATTGGATAATTAAATATAAATACGGCACTTGGTGTGTGGGAGGAGCATGTGGGCTTGGAGCCAGGGAAGTGTTTTAAATAATTAAGCTATGTTTTTAAAGTCACTGTGCATTCATAACTTCAAGTGCTTTTTTTCTTTTTAATAATCTAATGGTGGAAGGTGCTATTCTATTGGTTGTTACTATCAATTCATGAGGACAGAAGACACACACACACACACACACACACACACACACACACATATTTTGGGGCTGGAGAGGTGTGCCAGGGATTGGACCCAGGGGCACTTAACCGCTGAGCCACATCCCCAGCCCTTTTTATTTTTATTTTCAGACAGGGTCTCAATAGTTACTTAGCATTTTAAGTTGCTGAGGCTGGCTTTGAACCTGTGATCCTCTATCCTCAGCCCCCCGAGTTCCTGGAATTACAGGCATGCACCACCACGCCTAGCTCAAAAATTATATTTTTTATTTCTTTTTCACATAGTATAGCAAACAAAAAAAATTTAAAAACTGAATTTGAAAGTTGACCTTGAAACTACCTCTATGTAGTGCATTTCTTTAAGACTTAAGAGTCTCCTCAGAGATGCCATGCATAGACAGTCATCAAACATGGTTTCTTCTCAAATGTTAATGGATCACTAATTCTGTACGTTGACTTTAGAACCTGAGAAATAGGTATAAGAAGGGTTCAGTCTCCGGGGCTCCTGGCCTCCTTTGTCCCACGGTGGCTGCAGTGTGGTCTGAGGATCCTTGGTCGGGTGCTGGGCCTCTGTCTGGACTGCCTCCTGGCTGCCCCCACCAGGGGTCCCAGCAGTGAGCTGTCATCCTGGTGATCCTCTGCTTGGCTATTGGAGGTCACAGGACGCTTAGTAGAGCTCTGGTGGTTTATAGAATCATGGAGTTAGAGCCTTTCCTCTCCATGTGACTCCAAAAGAGAAAATGAGGTGCTTTTCCTTGACGGTCCAGCCCCCTCCCTCCTGGGCCAGCTCAGCCTGTGTGTCCAGGATCTCAGTTCGTCCTACCTTCCTCTGCTTTACAAGTTAATAAATGGGACCTTTATGATTGAAATGACTCATAGGTAGCAGTTTGTCACCCCCTCCTCGTGTGGGAGTGGTGGCACTTTGGAGGTTACGGTAAAGCTGTGTCTTGGTTATGGTTACTCCCACCACCCAACGGAGGTAATATTTAGAAAGTTTATTCTGGGACGTTCAGAGCTACCAAGATGTACTCAAGCTGTAGTTTAGTTTAAATCTATACCCAGAAGTAATACTTTACAAACTGGTACAAAGAACAGTTTTGTCTTTGTTTATTTCAGTGTTTAAAAGCTAAATCGCTGTGTTCTTTGTCATTCTGAATCATATAACTGGAGAGGAAAATGTACCTTTTAATACCTGCCTCCCATTATTTGAGCTACTGGGTCAAATGTGGTTATAACCTGAGAAACGAGAGGATTGTTTATAATTTGAAAATTTGAAGTCAAGTTCCAAATTAAAATTAGAATCAAGAACTTTTAAAAGATGTACATGCCTAATTTTTAGAAAGAAAATTTCTTAACTTTACTGTCCTAACTTTGCATATACTTGAAATCAACAGAATGACAATATGTTTTTTAAACTACCACTGGTCGGCTCCTCAGGATGACGGTGGTGTGGTTGTGTGTCTGACTCTGGGGCAAATCACAGCTCCTGTGTTCGTCCCATGTTTGTGTGACACTCTGATGCCATCTGTGTCACATCTGCATACCGTGCATACTGTTTTTGAAGACATGTCATTTAAATCATGACATTTAAAGTGCTCTAGGACATTGATCCAGTTGGTAACTAATTGAAGCCTTTGGCAGGAACATCCGGTGGTAGACGTTGTGCGTTGATGTGGAAAGAACAGGAAGAATGCATTGTCCTTGAGGAAAGCTCACAGCCCTGGCCCCAGCAGCAAGGCAGGGTCCACTGGTGCTGCATGGGTCTCCTGTGCACCCTGGAGGCTGGCTGAGAGCTGCTGTGCTGTGAGCAACGTGTCCAACTCGAGGCTGCTGCACACCCACCCACCTTTCATCAGCCAGAGGGCTGGGTCCCAAAATTGGCTTGAAGGTACTTTCTATTCCAAGTACCAGTGCCATGAGCAGCAGGCGGAACACCCACCACTCAGATAAGGGCAGTTCTTACCAACAGGAGAGCCTAGAATGAAAACCACCAATGCTGCTTTATCTCCTGGGAGCATCGTGGCAAAAGAACCCTGTTTTCTCTCCAGAATCCAGTACTGATGCTTTGAGAGAGGAAGGAGAGGGATGATCACGCTGACACATGGGAGATGCTCACCTGGAAACGCTCCTATTTCACATGGCTTCTCTGTGTGTCACAGTGTCCCAGATGGAGAAGGAAAGCCCATATGCCTGATCCTCATTCAAAGACACGCCTTGAAACGTCCCTGCCTCAGCTTCTACAATGGGTTCTCTTGTAGTTTACTGCTGCCCTGCGGTGTCTCTGTGCTCAGCATCTCTGTTTTCACTGTGTGACAGCAGCCAGGAGTAGAGACACTGCCCAGCGTGATGCCATCACAGCATGAGGGGGCCTCAGCACAGGGGAAGGTGAGGGCCGGGCGGTCCTTTCTCCCTGGCAGATGCTTCCCGTCCTGTCGTCCACAGTTAGCTGCTCTTATCAGAAGTGGTTCCAAGACACTCGAGCCTCCCGTGGGAGGGGCCATGGTCCTTCCTGATTTCACATGTGGCTTCCCACACAGGTATTAAAAAATGTCTGGCATCACCTTCCTGTCCAGAGACAGCTGCACAGTGTCGGGCTTCGTGGGCACCAGGACCCCTATGCCAGTGTGAGAGGGCAGCGGGCTCTGACTGTGGCCCCTTCTGAATGGCTCGAGCCCTCGGGAAAGTGTGGAGCCAGGGTCTGGGGTGAAGCTTAGTGGGGGAGCGCTTGCCTGGCACACACCAAGCCCTGGGCCCCATCCCCAGCACCACAAAAGAGAAGTATGGTCAGGAGCCTCTTTTCAGGGTGCAGATGAGTTTCCCAAACTCAACATTCGGAGGCTGGATCTATCATTGTACTGTAGCTGCCCAGATTGTAGCTGAGCATCTGGTTTGCTAAGGAGCCATGCTCCACAATCTGTCAAACTTGACGTCACAGCAAAGCCCAGGCAACCAGGAGAAAATACTATGACATAAATGTTCTAATATAACCTGAGGTAAAGCATGTTCTGGATTTTATTATTATTCCCCTAATAGGTGAATGATCAAATTTGACAGGGAAAAAGCAGTGCGTTTGCCAGGCAAACTGGGGCCCATGGAGAAGCATGTTACTCTGTAACCTTCCGTCTCACGACAGTCGTCATCCATGTCTTTTATACCAAAGCAAACGTTGTCTTGCAGTTGTCTCAGGAGAAGCAAAGGGTCCCCAGCAGGAGATTCTGATGTGGGCCCCTCCGCAGCTTCAGATGCTGCCTGAGAGGCCATCTCCGTCTAATGAAGCTGAGTGTCCTTGACCCTTTGGCTCGGTTTTGTCCATCTCAGGGACTTGGTTTCCTAGAAAACCAAGAGCTCCAAGTTTCCTTGGAGACCTTTCCCTGCAGCATCTTGGTCTGCAAGTGAGACGGGCCCTGTTCCCACACCCGCCCAGGGGTGCTTCTCTGCCTCTGAGCCCTTCTTCCCTCCCAACTTCTTGTCTGAATCCTCTCGCCGCCGTCCTACCAACTTCAGAGTCAAAAAGCCAAATGCACACCTGAGGTTCACATTGTCCTCTACCCACGCCTGCGGATTCTCTCTCTGGGAAACACACAACCCTTTGGATGGACGTCCCGTGGCCTCCTCAGCCGCCTCATCAGTCTTCTCATTGCCGTAACAAAACTCCTGAGGCTGGGTACTGTGTAAAGAAGAGTTGCATGTAGCTCACAATTTTGGAGGCTGAAAGCCCACACAGCCTGGTGCCAGCCCTGGGGAGGCCCTCTGGCTGGGCTGCATCATGGAGGATGGCACTGTGGGAAACGCCCATGAGACGGGAAGCCGGAGCGCCTGGGGGGGTGCCAGCCTTGCCCTTCAGAACGGCCCTCAGGAGAACTACCCAGGGTCCAACCCCTTCCCAGGACTCGCCCCCAGTGATCTCTCTGCCTCTTCGAGGTCCTACCACTTCCCCAGATCACCACACTGTAGGCAGTTTTGTCACCTAAACCCTCAAGGGACGCTCTCGGACCAT